GTTTGACCTACTTTTCAAAAAAATTTAACTTTACTTTAAATTGGTCATAAAATTTGATATAGAAGAGATAGGACTTTCATATTGCACATGTATATTACCTGTGACAAGATTTTTTCAAATATACTATTTGTTTTGATCCTGTGACCTTTGATCTTGAAGTTTGACCTACTTTTCAAAAATTTTATCTTTTCTTATAACTTTTGATTGAGAAAAGAGGGTTTATTATATTTGACATGTGAATTACCTGTGAATAGACCTTTCCAAATATACTATGATTTTTGACCCCATGACCTTGAAGTTTGACTTACTTTTCAAAAATTTTATCTTTTTCTATAACTTTTGATAGGAGAAAGAGAGGGGTTTCATTTGACCTGTGAATTACTTGTGACAAGATGTTTCCGAGCATGCTATGATTTTTGATCCCTTGACCTTGATCTTCATGTTTGACCTAATATTGGTGATTACTTTTGAATGAGATATGATAGGGTGTTCATATTTGACAAGTGCATTACCTGTGTCAAAATTTGTTGAATGTGCTATGATATTTGACCCCATGACCTTGACCTTCAAGTTTGACTTTATTTTCAAACATGATATCAGTGTTGCTAAATTTTAAAGGAGCAAAGATAGGGCATTCATATTTGATACGTGCATTACCTGTGACAAGCATTTCCAAATGTAATATGAATTTTAACCCCATGACCTTGACCTTAAAGTTTGACCTGATTATCAAAAATTGTTGTTAACTTTTGATTGAGAGAAAGTATGGGATTTTCATTTGACATGTGCATTACCTGTTTGAAGACCTTTCTGATTGTATGCTCTGGTTTTTAGCTCTACTGGTCAGAGACCAGAAGAGCTTATGCGATAGTAAGGTGTCCGTCGTCCGTCCGTCTGTCTGTCTGTCTGTCCGTCTGTAAACAATTTTTCAAAACGCTACTCCTCCTACAGTTTTGGTCTGATTTCAATATAACTTGGCACACAAGTAAACTACACTAAGATACATAATTCTATATATCGGTTTTTGATTTCAATAAACGGTGTTGCCATGGTTACTAAAAATAGAAATTTCTGTGAAAAACTTTCAAAACGCTACTCCTCCTACAGTTTTGGTCTGATTTCAATATAACTTGGCACACAAGTAGACTACACTAAGATACATAATTCTGTATATCAGATTTTGATTTTAATAAACGGTGTTGCCATGGTTACTAAAAATAGAAATTTCTGTGAAAAACTTTCAAAACACTACTCCTCCTACAGTTTTGATCAGATTTCATTATAACTTGGCACACAAGTAGACTATACTAAGATACATGTACATAATTCTGTGTATCGGTTTTTGATTTCAGTGAACGGTGTTGCCATGGTTACTAAAAATAGAAAGGGGGAGTTTCGATAAGGCCGCTCAGCGGCCCACTTTTTTTCATAAAAATAAATTTCAATTTATTTTTTCAAAACTAGTTTAGAATTCAAGATGAATATGTTAACTTCTGTTATTTTTATTTCAAAAGTTAATATGAGATGAATTCACACCGTAGCTGATGCATACTTAGATGTTTCCTCAAATCCGTTAACATTAGGCTTATGGGAAAATATAAGAGGGTGACATTTATAAATCAATGTTTAGAATATGAAGTGCATGAGGGACACAGGCGTAAATTTGTTCAGTAATTAGATATACTCTGCACACTAATTTCTTGAAATATGATGAGTGTCGCGTGTGCACTTCATATCCAAAAATTGAAAATTGCATAAAATTTGCATATCTAAAATTAGAAGCTCCTTGTTTCTTGATCTGACTGTTTATTAAAATACCAAGCCAAAAGAAGCATATTTTTTTTAAATCAAAGAAGATTCTCGATTTTTTTAACAGTAGAAAACATTATTCTATCCTATCTTCATTTCAATACTTTTTTGTCGCCAACGTATAACGTTAACGTCACATTTTTAGCTCACCTCCTCGAAGTTGGGGGAGCTTTTGTAATACCGGCGACATCCGTATTCTAGGTTAAAGTTTTTGAAGCAGATTTTTTTTTCAAGTTTATCTATGCCATATATTAATCAGAGTCACCTGATCCAGCGTGTTTCCTTGTCACCAGTCAGGTTTCAGATGCTGAATTTTTAGCCAAAGAATGTCCAGGTAAATGTTTTAAAAGCAGGTTTAAGTTTTTGGAGCAGAGCAGCTGTAAGCACTTGTTGACCAGACTTGCTTCAGGATGCATCTACGGATGCACACTACTAGATTGCTTCACATGCTGGATATGACCTACATTTCCTTAATGAGTGAGCAGGTTAAAGATTTTGAAGCGGGTATCGTTCTTACGTAACTATAAGCTCTATCGTGACCAAACTTGCACTGATGATGCATCTAGGATTGCTCACTACCAGACATGGTTCAGATGCTGGATCTTTCTTCCATTTTCCGACTGACTGAACAAATATGTATTTTCTTGTAAATAGAAATCCACGCTCCAATTTGCTAGAGAAGCGCCCATATATTTCCGTGTGGTTGATACAGCGAACGTGGATTGTTTTAAGTCTTGATGTCTAGGCGCATATGTCTGCCTGATAAAAGATTAAACACATATCTTTGGCGTTTACACATGTATTTTGAACTGCGCTCTGGTCTGGCAAATCATAAATAATGAATTCTAAAACTCTCTAAATGCTCACTAGAAATGACTAGAGTTGGTGAAGCAACTTAATTAACTATGGAGAGTTTGGAAGCGAGAGGAAATTAGTCCTGGCTGGGATTTTCTCAGCTATGCTGAAAACATATAATTCTGTTCTGTGTGGGCAAATACTTCTGGGTTTCATAATGAAAAGGAAACACTCTATGTATTATAGATTTTTCCATCATTGGTCTTTTCACATATTACGTATAATGATAAAATATTTTTGACTGTAATTAATATTATTCATATTATCAAATAAATTGCAATATACTGAAGCCGGTAGGTGCTAGGTAAAAAAATGTATTATCTGGCAGCCGCCAGATAAGTTTCTAGTGCCTGCCATTGAAATATCTGGCGACTGCCAGAAAAAATTGTAGTGTTTTTGCCAATCAGGTTGTAGCAACCAGTGATGTACCTTAATGTACTTGATTGACAGAGGTACACAGACCAGGTATTTTTGAAGGCGGTGCTTAAAATCTCTACCTTTAACGACATCTACAACTTCTGTTTGTAGTCAAATCTGGGAGTTTCATGCCTTATTAGCAAAGATCAAATCTACACTTTATACAAAATTTCACTTCATAAGGTCTTCACCTCATAACTTTAAATTTATGTTTTATTAGATTACATGTCTACACCACAAGAAACTTATTTGTCGGCTTCTAGTTATCTAGCTAGTTATAGGAAAACTATTTGGCACCCGCCAGATATATTTTTCTAGAGGCCGCCGAAAAACGGCCTTATCGAAACTCCCCCTTTCTTTGAAAAACTTTCAAAACGCTACTCCTCATACAGTTTTGATCTGACTTCATTATAACTTGGCACACAAGTAGACTACACTAAGATATATAATTCTGTGTATCGGTTTTTGATTTCAATAAACGGTGTTGCCATGGTTACTAAAAATAGAAATTTCTGTGAAAAACTTTCAAAACGCTACTCCTCCTACAGTTTTGGTCTGATTTCAATATAACTTGGCACACAAGTAGACTACACTAAGATACATAATTCTGTGTATCAGTTTTTGATTTCAATAAATGGTGTTGCCATGGTTACTAAAAATAGAAATTTCTGTGAAAAACTTTCAAAACACTACTCCTCCTACAGTTTTGATCAGATTTCATTATAACTTGGCACACAAGTAAACTACACAAAGAAACATAATTCTATGTATCTGTTTTTGATTTCAATGTAGGATGTTGCCATGGTTACTAAAAATAGAAATTTTCTTGAAATACTTTCAAAACACTACTCCTCCTACATGTTTTGTCTGATTTCAGTATACATGTAACTTTGCATACAAGTAGACTACACAAAGATACATAATTGTCATTATTGCTTTTTGATTGCGTTGAATGATGTTGCCATGGTTACTCAAATCGAAATTTCTGTAAAATCATTTTAAAAGGCTACTCCTCCTACAGTTTTATTCTGATTGTAATAAATCTTGCCACAAAACAGACTAAACCAAGGATCATTATTCTATTTATTGCTGTTGCAAAGTCCAAGTGCTACTTTTATCTTCCTTTATAAGTACAACCAGTAGAGCTACAGTCTCATCAGATACTTCTGGTTTACCTTGTGACCCAATCGACCTTAAAGTTTACAGTCTTTTTTTAAACATTTTTAATAACTTTTGAATGAGAGAAGATAGGGCTTTCATATTTCTACATGTACAATACCTAAGACAACACCTTTCAGAAAAGTATATCATTTTTGACTTCATGACCTTGACCTACTTATAAAAAAATTTAACCTTGATCATTATCTTTATGCTCCAGAAGAGACAGGACTTTCATATTTTTTTTTCACATGTGCATTACTTGTGACAAGACCTTTTGGATTTTATTATGATATTTGACCTCATGACCTTGATCTTGAAGTTTGATGTAGTTTTGAGAAGCTATACCTTTGCCATAAGTGTTATTAATTCGGTAATTTATGTCTTTTTTCTATGATGCACACACATGATAGGACACATAAAGACAGTTACATGTATAATATGCCATAAATAATGGCATCCCCTCCGCTAAGACACCGAAAGCAGGAGACCACAATCCTTGAAATTGCTTGTTTGTGTTTGTTTTTAATTTCATAACCTCGTAATCAATCTGTCCGCCGACGCTAAACTTGAAAAAAATATTAGAAATGGCCTAATGTTATAATGACACTTGTAAAAAACATTCAGTGGGGAGGGGGGAGGGACTTGATCCCCCAATACCACACAGTACACACTGTAAAATAGAAAACTTACACCTTGAATAAAACTAGAGAACTTGGCTAACAGATAGCTATTATAATTGGTTAACACAGATATTCCTCATGGTTGTGAAGAAACTCCTTACCCTGGTTCTCCTAACCAGACCAAATCAAGTTCTGCTTGGAATGAAGAAAAGAGGATTTGGCAAAGGCAGATGGAATGGATTTGGGGGAAAGGTGGAGAAAGGAGAAACCATTTTAGAGGCTGCAAAAAGGTAAGAATCTGTGTGTTTTTTTCACAGTAATTGCTAGAGTAATTCTTTAAAATAGTTCCTTTGAATTAAAGATATTACCAATAAATGTTTATTTTTCTTTTCTTGGGTTAACCATCATAATCAATTTTGACCTTTAAGCTCACCTCATCAAAGCTGGGGGGCTGTTGTAATACCGTCAGCGTCCCAAGTTGAAATTTTTGGGGCAGATTTCTTTTCAAGTATTTTTATGCCCTATATTAATTAGAGATGCATGAAAGATGCTTCTAGTTTGTTTCATTGTACCAGTCAAGGTTTCAGATGCTGCAATTTCAGCTAAAGAATAACTAGGTTAATGTTTTAGGAGCAGGTTAAAGTTTTTAGAGTATGTCTGATTTCCAAGTAACTACATGTATGTGGAGGGTAATCATGTTCAAAAATCCAGACTTGTAAGTTTGTAAATCCAAACTTGTTAAGTTTGTAAATCCAAACTTGTAATTGTATCAGTTTCATATTATACATATGTAAGTAGGTAATTCTGACATCCTAGCATGTAGTTCCGAACATACAACTGTGTTGACTTTGAGTTTATACTATGAATGTGTGTATTTTTGATGTTGTAAACTTTGTTTTCCAGAATTTATATTTCCGCGCTCTGAATAAAACACAAAGAAAATTGACAAATCTACAAATGTAAAGTCTACTTGATTGTCGAATTTTGATAATGAGAACCTATGGAGGGTCAACAGTGCCACAATTATTTTTAATGGTCTTATTTTCTTTTTTATTCTTTTTGTTTTCCAAATTAAATTCTTTATTTTTTATTTCTCATTTTAATTCTTACTTCTTGAAGGCGCGGATCTAGAAGGGGGTCCGGACCCCCCACCCCACCCCTCCCCCTGAAATTTGCAGACTTATTAAATGTTTATACTAAACGAACTAAAAGTGACCTTGGACCCCCCTCGAAAACACTGATCTGTGTTAAGTTGACGACTACCCCTCCCCCCCCAACACACACACACACACACGTGGGAAAGGAGTTTACTTTTTTTTTGCTTGTCAAGAAATTTCTGGGTTGGATTTTTTTGGACTGGGATGAACCCCCCCCCCCCCCCCCCCCCCCGCGGATCAGTGCCTGTTCTTGTTTATATTTTTCAGTTTTATTTTATTTTATTTATTTTATTATGGCAATTTTCGTATTTTGATTCTATCTTAAAATTTCAATTATGTTTCACTTCACCTAAGTTAATACTTAATTTTTTTTTTGGTAATAAGCAAAATCGAAAGTTTGTTTAAAAAAGTATATAGAACTTACAGAGTTAAACTAAGAAATCCAAGTAAAATTTAAACGAAAAGGGGCACTACGGCCTTTTATGTATCTTGGCGAACAGTCTAGCTATGAAATGTACAACGTAGAAACATTTCCATGGAACATATTTTTTTTTCATTTTAAAAACCATATGATATCATTCTTGCATGTTTTCTCTCGTTTTCAGGTCTGTAGGAAGCATTTTCATTGGGTGGGGTGGGGTGGAGCAGTGGGCACAGAACAAAAATTTCTTGTTAAGCCCCCCCCCCCCCCCCCCCAAAAAAATGAAACATTCCTGTTGAGGGGGGCACAACGATGAATTAGCCTTATTTCTTTTCTTATGTATTTACCGACAAAATTATTGAGGGGGCACAATCAGAAATTGCTTTTTTTATTGGTATAGTATATACTGGCACCCTCACCCCACTTGCTACCTACGGACCTGGTTCGGGACCATAAAACTTAGATGAGCTCACTTTTGATCCCAGTCTCTCTTTTCTACATACTATTAATTCCTTTGTTAAATGTGAGACTGTGATCAAAAATGAGCCCGTCTAAGTTTTATGGCCCTGGTGCAAGATGTTTCAAATATGATAATTTAAAATATGACTGCCACTTTTGATTGCCCGCTTATGGTACACAAATATCAGGTATCTTTAAATTGATATTGTCATCACATTATTTTTTAAAGATTTTTTTCACTAACAAATCTCAGGTCCGAAGTAGGAGGGATCGAAAGGTTGAGCTCCCAACTTTTTTGTGTGGAGAGTAATCTTTTGCAGCATATGAAAATTCATTTATAGGCTGTATGCCCAACCACCCCCACCCCCCATCCCCCTTATTTTGCAGTATCATTAAACTCTGGCAAATTCTTGAGTTGAAAAAAAAGTTACTGAAAAGTTAAAGATATCCTAAACCGCGCCTCCCATGAAGGAGGAGTTTGGGCAGTATATTTATTTTATTTTTCATTGTCAATTTTTTGGAGCCCCCCCCCCCATTGATACGGATCTTCGTCTACTGAGTGGTTGTTGTTTTTTTTAAATATAATATCATTGCAGTTACATTGGTTCTTAATAAACTGAGGCACTGATCACAGTAGCCTAGTGGTTGGGCGCTAGCTTCGTAGGCCATTGGAGGGTAAGAGTTCGCTTGTCCTAAGTTCCTAGTGCCGGCCAGCAAAATGTAAGACGTTTAACATACGTGTTGGTAATGACTATTCCTTCGGCATTGAAGGTCAAATTGAATAATTTTTCGGTTGAGACCTTAAAAACCGAAGCCCCTCTAGATCTGCGCAAGCCGTGAATAAGCGGGTAATGATTCATGTCACATCGTCAAATAAAAAAAAAATTAAGAAGATAAAATAAAATTGGACCATATAAACAAAAAGTTAGAATTAAAATTAAATAACAAATTCAAGTGAAAATATTAATATAGAATTGAAAGTTAGAATAAAAAAAGAAATAAAATGTAAATAAATTATTTCAGTTGGGAAAAGAAGTTAGAATAAAAAAAGGGAAAAAATGTGGCACTGATGCCCCTCCATAGTTTCTCATAATCAAAATTCGACAATCATGTAGACTTTACATTTGTAGACTTGTCAATTGTCTTTGTGTTTTATTCAGAGCGCGGAAATATAAATTCTGGAAAACAAAGTTTACATCAAAAATACACACATTCATAGTATAAACTCAAAGTCAACACAGTGGTATGTTCGGAACTACATGCTAGGATGTCGGAATTACCTACTTACATATGTAGACTATGAAACTGATACGATTACAAGTTTGGATTTACAAACTTACAAGTTTGGATATACAAACTTACAAGAACTTAGAAGTCTTGATTTTTGAACATGATTACCCTCCATACATGTATAAGCTCTATTCTGACCAAACTTCCATGGGTGATACATCTAACGATGCACACTACCAGGATTGCTTAGGATGCTGGATTTGACCAATATTTTCCAGAAGAGTGACCAGGTTAATGTTTTGGAGCAGATCTCATTTCCAAGTACTATAAGCCCTATATTGACCAAACTTGCATGGATGATACACCTAAGGTGCACACTACCAGCATTGCTAATTTGACCTACATTTCCAGATAAACATTCAGGTTGAAGTTTTTGGAGCAAGTTTTTTTCTAAAATGACTATAAGTCCTGTGCTAACCAACTTTGCACTGAAGATACATTCATTGATGCACACTACCAGGGTTGCTTTGGATGCCAGATTTGACTTACATTTTCCAGATGAGTTACAGGTTAAAGTTTTTGGAGTGGGTCCATGACCAAGAAACTACATGTATAATGCCTACTTGAACCAAACTTCAATGGATGATGCATCAAGGGATGTACACAACCAAAGTTGCTCCAGATGCTGGATTTGATCTACATTTTCCAGATAAGTGACTAGGTTAAAGCTTTTGGAGCAGGTCCATTACCAATAAACTATATATGAGGTCTATTTGTACCAAACTTGCAGGGATAATGCATTAAGGAATGAACACTCTCAAACTTGCTCCAGATGCTGCACTTGCATTTTCTTAATAAGTGACTAGTTTGAAGTTTTTAGATAAGTCCATTCACAAGTAACTACAAGCCCTATCAGACCAAAATTGCATAAATGTTGCATCTAGATGCACACTACTAGATTATTAGTTAAGTGTGGAAGTTTGCTTTACTTAAGACAACATTCATTGAGGTGAGCTCTATAATCTCTGATTAACAATGTTTTGTATTATAAATATTTGATATCTTGTATATGTAGCAATTATTGCGGAGTTTTGGAAAGATGTAGAGAAGACACTTATATTTTACAAACATTATTTTTATTCTTAAGAGAGCTCTTTGAAGAATCAAGTTTGAAATCAGACAGTTTGACAAAGATTGGAATAATTGATTTCCAATTTGTTGGTGATCCACAAATTTTAGAAGTCCATATTTTCACTTCAACCCAGTTTGAGGGAGAACCAACAGAAAGCCCAGGTATGTAAAATGTTTTGACAGAATGTTTTTAATTGAATTATGTAATTGAAGATGTGCTCAGGCATTATGAATCTTTTACTACCAAAGTTTTAATCTCAAGAAGGAATAAATTTACTTTGATCAAATTTTAAAGTCACTCGAGTCAATTAGGTGACCTTTTGCTATCATTCACAAATTTTAGAATAAGCAAGGTTCTTCTGTGAAACTAGTGAACCAACTTTAGCCAGATTTGGCAAAATGCATCCATGGAATATTATTCTTCTACCAAAATTGTGAAATTCTTAACCCCTAGGTGCCACTAAAGTTCTTTACTAATCGGTATTTAATGCACAAGCATTTTGAAAACCTTCCATTTTTTTCCCCTGGATATCTAGCAGGCAAACATTTTTCATGATATTTATAATCATGAGCAAATGATCCTTTTTCCAAAACTGTGAAGTCCAGGTCCAGGGTTAGGGCTAAGATAGTCATATAGGTCATGTAGGTATGATGTCTTCTTTTATTGAAAATCCTTTATTGTCTTCTGGATATCTAGCAGGCAATTTTTTGCACATTAATGAACAATTATCAATTTATGATCCTCTGGTGCAGGGTTTAGTTCCCAGAGTGGGATACATTGGAAATATTATCGAAAATGCATAATTTCATAGAAAATGATGAAAATCACCACTCCTTGACATAGTAATGAAATTAAAGACTTGTTTTTTCTTCATTTTTAGCTCTACTGGTCAGAGACCAGAAGAGCTTATGCAATAGTAATGTGTCCGTCATCCCTCCATCTTTCTATCTATCTGTCTGTCCATCTGTCTGTAAACAATTTTTCAAAACAGTACTCCTCCCACAGTTTTGATCTGATTTCAATATAACTTGGCACACAAGTAAACTACACTAAGATACATTATTCTTTATATCGTTTTTGATTTCGATGAACGATGTTGCCATGGTTACTGAAAATAAAAATTTCTGTGAAATACTAAATCAAAACTCTATTCCTACAGTTTGGTCTGATTTCAGTATAACTTGGCACACAAGTAGACTACACTGAGATACATAATTGTAGTTATTGTTTTTTGATTTTGTTGAATGATTTTGCCATGGTTACTGAAGTCGAAATTTCTGTTAAATTCTTATAAAAGGCTACTGCTTTAACAGTTTTAGTCTGATTGCAATAAATCTTGCCACAAAAAGAGACTTAACCAAGGATCATTATTCTACTTATTGCTGTTGCAAAGTTTCAAGTCCAAGTACTACTTTTAGCTTCCTTTGTTATAAGTACAAACCAGTAGAGCCACAGTCTCGTCAGAGACTTCTAGTTAAAATTCTGGAATTTTTTTTTCATCTGGTATTATACAGAGATGAGTCCTAAGTGGTTTAATGTGGAGGACATTCCCTTTGAGACTATGTGGCCGGACGACTGTCTCTGGTTTCCGATGCTTCTTAGCGGGACAAAATTCCAAGGATACTTTCTTTTTCAAGGACACGATAAAATTCTTAATTACACTCTTGATGAAGTCAATGAACTGCCAAATTAATTGGAGTGTATGTACGTGATATAGAAATTTTAACAAAAAATTAGTCAGAGAACGCTGTTTGGACTTGGTAGTTTTACTAATGTTGGGATGTTTTTATATGAGAAGTAATGTACAATCTGGTATATTAGTAGACATTTTTATATTAGTTTGCTTTGTAGAAAAAAAAAAATCTGTAAAATGTTAAAACTAGTAGTTTTAATTACTGTGTTTGTTTCAAAATAGTTATTTTTCCCTTTTTTGCAAATTTTTTAACTTTAAAAAAAATTCTATGTTGCAAAGTAGCAGTCAATAAAGTAACACTATGAAGAATTTCATACATACAAGGTTCAATTGCATAAAGAGCAAGAGCCACGAACCATCAAAAATGGCCCTGTGTCAAAAATTAACGGGTTTTTGTCAATTGATAGTGAAGACCTTTAGCTTTGCTTTGCCGTTTTTCTTTTTTCGATATCGATTATATTTTTTGAAAAAGAGAGTTTGAAGTATGGTGGTGTTTTAAAAGAAAAATGCTAGTAGAACGTCATTTTCTGTAACGTAACGTCGTAGGGCGGAAAAATTTCCTTGATCGATTTTGCATGTATGAATATGTGACTTTGAATTAAAACTAGTATTAATAATATAATAAACATCATAATTAATTTAAGACGATTAAAAGCATTTGGAACTTGATTTAACTTGCCGTCTTTATGGTAACCTCGTGTTTAACTGATTGAATTATATAGATACATGAAGTAAAAACTAGAGGTACTGTGAGCACTGAGCTCACAAAATGATACCCCGCCTATCATATATTTATAATGGCAAAGTCCATGTTTTGCTATGGGAGACCCGAAATATGTGTCTGATCAAAAGTGAAATAGGAGGTGCACAATGGCATAATGTAAAAAGATTCTGTGAAAGTATCATTAAATCTTTAATTTATTCAGGCGTATAAGAGGAGTTGCGGATAAGAGATGGGTACCCTAAATATTATTTAAAGAATGGCAGTGTCTATGTTTTGCTATTGGAAACCTGAAATATGTGTCCGATCAAAAAGTGAAATAGGAGATGCACAATGGCACTATCTACAAAGATTCTGCGAAAGTATCATTAAATTTTATTGAGTTGTATAGGAGGAGTTGCGGATAAGAGATGTGTACCCCAAAGCGTAATGGACGGACGCACAGACGGACGGAAAGGACACCCCCATCACTATATACCCCAACTTTTCAAGCGGGAGTATAATAATCTGTGTGACTGTCTTGGAATATTTTCATTCTACCTGGTCCCTATGATAATATTAAAAAAAGGAACATTCTATTTATATCCCTTCAACACATTTTTGAGCGATGCTTCGCTCCTAGTGAAGTATTGTGTATAGATCATCATAAACAATATACGACATGCTTCAAATGCAGTGTAGGTAAAAGTTTAATTGCGAAAAGGTTTTGTTTAAATTGAAAGAGACGTTCAATGCAAAATTCTTAGATCCTGATATTGCGAGTATTTTAACGTATAAAAGATCTAAATTATTTGGACAAGAGGAAGAAGGAAAAAATTGGAAGGACTTGTTTCTAATCCATTTATTCATTTGTAACAATTATTTGAACGTTGTTTTCGATACAGAAACAGGGAAAATTTTTGATTAATTGGAATGGGATTTCGCAATTTATCAGAATGGTTTAATTAGTAAACAGAACTCATCAAAACATTCTAGCCCTAAATTTAAGTTTCTTTGGAGTAATATGGAAAACAGTAGAGTACACTTCAAAAAATATTCTTAAGAAAAATAAATTCGTTAAAAAATCACTCGTCACTGTCCATTATTATATATTTAACAGTATTTGCTAGAACCCCCCACCCCCCATTTTTTGCAAAATATTCGAATTTTTTTCTCCAAATACCTTGATATCTCCAGGGATTTTGTAAAGGTAGAGTCTGCGAAAATTCTATGATTATTTTCCATGTAAATGTATCAAAAGATTAAGCATGAGAACTTTTTCGTTATTATCACACGTAACCATTGTGTAAAATCCACACTTTCGATTTCATTTGCACATTATGGTTTTTATGGTTTATAAAAAGAGTAGAGCTACACTGATATTGCTGATATGTGGATCACTATCATAATTGAAATACATGTACAGGTGTTCATTTATCTTTGTTTTATTGTCTCACAATCAGCACAAGATTAATTTTAATCAACAAAAGCTTGCTTAAAAATATTTTAGTCGGAGAAGCAATAAGAGTTGTCCGTACATATTTTTTATTCAATTTTATTTCTGATTTTTTTTTTCGTGAAAAGAGGCGCTGCCAAACCAGTCCCCACCCCCCTTCTCATTGAGGAAAAAATAAGAGGAGTAGGAAAGTCTTTAACAATTTTCAATTTCTAGATTGATTTCTATTAATTAACAATAAAGAAAGTTAAATTCAAGACAACCTAAGAGAATAAAATAAAAATAACTACATTAGATGAAAATTTTGTTTCCATTAGTTTTTAACAACCCCCCCCCCTCTTTTTTTTAATCTCAACTGGAAGTCTTGGATCTACCATTCTACATATCATGATACTAATAGTTTATACTGAGGGAGGAGGTACAAGTGTACTAACCAGAATAAGCTGACAATAGATTAAAAAAAAGAGTAAAAATTATTATCCAAAAAAAAAAAAAATTTACTTCGTTGGGTTTAAAAAAAAATCTAGCTATAAACAACTTACGACCATACGTTTTAAAGAACATATTCCCGTTTATTGATTTGTTTTTTAAGACATTCTAAGATATCTCTCTCTCTCTCTCTCTCTCTCTCCATGTGTTTTCACATCGCTGAATTCTTAGATAAAACCGTATACTAATAAAGTTGCAATGAAGAGATGATGACGGATAAAAACTTTGGGTAAATTATATGTAGTGTACTTATTTATTTAATTTATGTTTTGTCTAAATAGACCTATAATCACTACCCTTTCACTGACTGACGATCTGAAGCATAACTATACTAATAATTAAATTGTGTTAGTTTCAATGAAATATTTGGAGCACAGTACAAAAAATGCATAAACATTTTATACTGATGTCTAAGACATACGACATGCATTTAATGCAATTTTACTCACTGGGGGTATATTTGAATTATGTTTCACAATGGATGACAAGATCGGGTATATGTTTTATGTACATATGCATCAATAGCCTCACTTCGATTTTAATAAATACAGACATATTAAAAATATACCGATATATTCTTCTGTTTTTGATCACGGGCGCGGGATCGTCATGTGCAAGTGTTTTGACGAAACCCGATATAACTGTATACTATAACTATACATTATTTTGTATCAGCATGTATAAGCCATGGATATAACTGAATTTTGTTAATCAACTGAGATGATTCTTCTGCATGTACATAAAAAAGGTGGATTTCGGTGCGGAAATGCAGATGATTATCTTAATGCGTATTTTTTTCATTCCTTTTTTTTCATTTTTTTTTTAATTTTCACTTTGGACAGCAACCCATATCATTATTATTTCGCTTGTTTTAAAAAGGTATAGCATGATATCTCTGCTACACTCTCTATTAATTTGTTTACAATTTAAGTCATGCCTGATAACACTATTAACAACAGTATTTTGAATTATTTCAGGGAGGGGAGGGGGGAGGGGTAGTAAAGAAAGACACCGAGGCGGGAATTTCTGATAACTTATAATTTGATGGTATCATCCAGTTGGGTTTACATGTAAATAAATCATATACATGTAAATACATGTAGGGACACTATCTAGAGCGTTAAAAGCTTTTCAGCAACATCCCAAATAATTTACAGCCTTTATGACGTCACAACTGACGTATTACTAGTAACGTCATATATAGTGACCTAGTCATAATAAAAACCACAAAGTTTTTCCAGACATTTATTTCAGAAAATGTCTGTAGTTGACTATTTTTCACATTTAGCGTTTTAAATGAATAATTTACTGATTTTCTAGCATATTTTGTGAAATTTATATTTTTTTATTATTACATGAATTGAATGTAAACGATTGATCTACAAATTAATGATTATTTGATCCATCAAAATTTAAATATAAAATCAAATTTCATATTGGCCACAGCCACGAACAACAACGATATTAAACATAAAGATTTGTATTGGTAATATCTATATCTATGGGAAGTATAAAAGTTGTTCTTGACTGTGGCCACATCTAACTTTGGGAAAATCTGTCGAAAAAACGGCATTTTTTATCGTTTTTATGAAACCGTCGTATTTTCCAACCGTCGCACGTGTTTAATGGCGCATTATATAACGATATAAGTTATGTATGGAAAAGAAGAATGTTGTCCTCTAATATTTAACGTATAGTACTCTTCTTGAACCGAAACTTTATTTTGTGAAAAACACAGGGCCAAAAATGATGGTTCGTGGCTTTAGCTCTTTTGTTGTATGTGTAATCACATTAAAGAAAAGTGGGAGACAAACTGTAATTAATAGTGAAGTAACTTTGGTATGAATGTATTCATCTTATCATCAGTTACATGTATGTAAATCATTTTAAAGACTTGCAGTCATTTTTAAAAAAAAAAAAAAATGGTACCTGATTCATGAACATGCTAGTACATGTACTACTGTACCATGAGTAAACACCAGGCCCCGAGGTTATAAAACTTTTACCGTACTCATACTCAAACTCAAACTCCAAACTCCGAGTATGAACTCCGCTGAGTACATTTCTTAATTCGAGGTTATAAAACACTTGGAGTACGTTCTCCACTGAGTCAAACTCAACGGATTTGGAGTACGAACTCAAACTCTGGAAATGGAAATCTTCAGCATTTAGAGGTAAGAAATATGTAAACATAAATATTAAAATGCGGGACCACGCACGTGCTATTACCCGGTATATGCCTTATAAGGGCAATATTTGTACGTCTGCAAATGTAAATAAACGCCTGCTTCATTCTGTCATTCCAAAAATGGATAACGACGTGCGATCGGCTCCGGAGAATCCCAAGAAACGAAAATGGACAGAAAATGAGGAGACTGTGCTCATCCAGTGCGTTGTGGAGAGGGAGGGCGATTTATTTGGGGAGATAAAGGGGGTGGGTACGAAGAAAAAATCTGTTGCAAGGAGAGAGGGATGGGGAGAGATCAGTGGCATCTTGAACTCGTAAGTATTAATTTACTTGTCTAATTACACTGAAAAGGTGACACGTTAAACATATCATTGGTTTAATAATATAGGTCACCAGCTGGTTAAGTGTCACGAGGTATTTGTTTACTAACAGTTTTCACAGACGTCCGCTTTTGAGTAAATATAGAATTTTTTTTCTAAAACATGTAAAAGGCATTCACTGTTCATTGTTATATTTAAATTGATTTTAAACATTTAAATTTATTGTTTTTGCACATTCGATATATTATTCTAGTATGTTAAATCAAACCACAGCTATAGACAATATATAAAAAGTTGGTATTATTAATGATTGATCAGAAAATAAAAAGTTTATAATATCTGTAAATAAATGTTTTGTTTAATACTAGGCAATTTAGCACAACAAAAAGAGATGTCGAAGAAGTAAAAAAGAAATACTTTAATTTGAAGCAGAGAGGTATGCGATCAACATCCTTATATTCTACATATGTATCTACATGTAACTTTTTATTATTTATCATATTTAAATATAAAGAACTTAGAGAAAGAATCAAATAAAGATACAATAAATTTTATAACATAAAATTTAGAGGAAGTTAAAAAGAAGCATTTTAATTTGAAGCACAGAGGTACTTATACCGGTGATATATAAAATATTTTTTATCAATATTTTTTTTTATTACTGTAACATATATGTTATAAAAACCCCTATTATTTTATTGAAATAAATATTAGCTTTATTGTCCACACTTTGTAATGCACAATTTATTTTAAAAATGCTGTGAATGTATATTTTGATTACAAAAAATAAATTGTGAACATTGTGTATATATCACTAATACAAGTATATTTTACAATAGCAAAAGAAAAAATTGACAACATAAAGCGGTCTGTCGTCAAGACAGGTGGTGGTCCAGCACCTCCCTCTCTGACTCCCGGGGAAGAGGCAATAGTTAAAACGCTGGAGGGAAGGCCAGTTGCATGTGGAATAAAGGAGGGCATTGACACAGACGGTAATACATGTATATACATTTTGTTATGCCTCCTCAGACATATATATATATATATACATATATATATATATATATATATATATATATATATATATATATATATATATATATATATATATGCACTTTTATAGCCATTATGGACCCAGTTGGTGATGAATTCATTCCAAATGAAACCAATTGTTCCAGTTCCACTGTGTCAAAAACAACTGTGCAGAGTGGTAAGTCCTTTTTTTACTGGTTTCTAATTTATCTGTTAATTAGGCCTTACATAAACCAACAATCTGTTGATCAATTAACTAATGCTTACTGCATTATGAAAAAAATTACATATATATAAATATAATAGAAAGGTTTACTTTCATAACCCTCAGATCTTCCTTGTGAAACATCTGCATCAAAAGAAACCAGTTGCACCAGTTCCAAAGTGCCCAAAATAACTGAGAAGAGAAGTAAGTCCATTTCTTCTTTTTATTTTTTACATCTGATTAAATTTTGAAGTATAATTTATATATTCAAATATACATTCAAGTTTTTGCTGCTTTATCGTATCCATTAACAACATTGTTATATAATGCATACATACAAACATATTAAAAACAAATTTTATTTAAATTGTGTAATCACAAAATATCACTGAAGTAATACATTTTTGACATACAATTGAACTATGGTATCTCAAACAATGATAATTCAAATACTTATATGGATATTATGAGGTGATTTGAAAATCCCAATCACTTATTCTGTAAGTATTTTACTACTGATATTTCAATACCTTGGATATCCTGAAATTTTCTCAGTCCCATTGTTTTGGAGATAAGGAGGTTTGTTTACAGAATGGAAAATAGTACTATATTAATACATTTTTTGTTTTGGTTGTTGCAGAATCAAAACGTTCATTAACAGATTTGGAACAACTGACCTTGCAGAATATAAAGTTAGATAATGAAAGACTAGAGCTGGAATTAGTCAAATTAAAGAAAGAAACAGAAAAGATATCAGAAGAATTGTCCTTCTTACAAGTTAAGAAGTTGTACTATCAACTAAAAATACAGTCAGAGTTTCAGATTTCCCTTGTTGAGTCCTGAATAAAAAATAATAGGGTAAGCTTTTCTGATCACATGTCCATTTGTCTGCCTGTAATCTTTAGACAATTTTGACTCCCTCTCAGTCTGTCTGTCTCGTCTTCTTATTTGTTGACTGTTAACTTTCCACATTTTCAACTTCTCCAGAATCACTGGGCAAATTTCAGCCAAACTTGTTGAATGCAATGTCCAACACATTCTTAGGTCATGATTGGTTATCAATAAGAAAGCTTCCTTAGGTAGTGTAGATTCAAATTTGTACAAACCACAACAGTGGATCAAAGTTTTACTTTGGAATATACAGGAAATATCTTTAAAAATCTTCGTCTCAAGAACAACTAAGCAATTATTAGTCATTTTTATACAATAGCAACCTTAGGTATTGTAGAATCAAGTTTATTCAAATGATGACGCCACAGGGGTTAGGAGGGGGCACAACAGAGGGTCAAAGTTTTACATAAGAATATATATAGGAATCATCTTGACGAAAAATCTTCTGCTCAAGTACAGCAAAGCCATGATAAGTCATATTATTATAGAAGCATCCTCAGGTAGTGTAGATTCAAATTTCTTCAAATCTAGGGTTAGTAGGGAAGGGTAACAATGAGGGACCAGAGTTTTACATAGTAAAAAATCTTTTAAAATTCTTCTGCTCAAGAACAGCATAGCCATGATTAGTAATAGTGATATGGAAGCATTCTGAGATAGTGTAAATTCAAGTTTGCCCCCCCCCCCCCTCCCCCCCAGTAAACATTTCAATACTGAACAGATTTCTGCTTTTTCCTAGCCAATGTGCTCAGGTGAGCAATGTGGCCCATGGGCCTCTTGTTATAAAGTCCTGTCTAAAAAGAATATTGAATGGTATATCTTTGTTCATTTCAGTTAATAAACACAGAACAGCGATATTACTTTGATATCTTAATACCTTGAATTTTGTCACAAATTGTCAAGAATTAAATAAAAATCTCTCTCTCTCTGAAAAGAGAGAGAAAGACAGAGAGTCTCAGAATTTTACATGCAGTATACACAATTATAATTACTAATATTGTTGAAAATTATAGCTGTAGAATTGTAATTTACTCATAGTATTTCAATGACAAAACAATCTACTATTTCATATTTTTGTGAGCAAACACTGTTGAGAGCCTTTGATGTAGCAAAGTTACATTATAGTTCTCACCATGTGGAATGTTTTCCTTATACTAGCATAATGCAGTTATATATTCCATATAATACAAGTAAATAGATTTCTCTTCTATTAAAGTTTGTGAAATTTCATGAATTACAAAGCATATATTTATTTTTTGGGGTACTGACATTTTTGATTTCTTGACCTTGGAGTTTGACTTGCATTTGAGAAACTTTATCTTTGCCAAATTTGATTTTCAAACATTACAAAATATAAAGGTTCTATATTCTACACCTTTTACCCAACAAAAAACAAGGAATCATTGACCAGTGCACTCAGGAGCAATCATCAAAAATCTCTGGTTCAGAAAAACTTGAATTTTATATTTAAAAAAATTACAGTAATGCAGTACAAGAAAAAAGAAGTCCACAGGTTGATTTACTCAGGAAAAAAAAGATCTGAGAGATCCTTTCTTAGTAGAATTAGATTAAGTGCACATAAATTTGTAATAGAAAGTGGTAGATATATCTCCACATCAAGAAACGAAAGATGTTGTAATGCTTGAAATATCGGTGTGATTGAGGATATGGAATTCATATTCTTTTTCAATGTAAATCTTGTTCTAAGGTGAGAAACACATACCTTAGAAATATTTATAATATAACAAAGAAAAATATTAAGATACATGTTACAAGTATATCAAAACAGTGATAGGTGTATACATAAAGTCTTAAAATCACTGTGAAATTTATAATAGAGACTGTTTTGAACATAAAAGTCAATTACTTAGTACTACATAAAAATTATGTAAACAGTATCTAATGATGTTCAGTGGGCCTTTGCCAATTATTGTAATTGTGTTTGTGCCAATAAATATTTGTATTTGTATATGAAATACTCCTGTAGCCAAACCTTGTATTTTACAGGTGCACTGAATGATATCATATATCAAATAATAATTTCATTAATAAATAATAAAAATTTCTCATAATTTTTAATATTTAATTGTTGATGTTTTTCTTAAAAGCTTTGGTATGACATAGTAATGTAAACCAGAGAGAGAGAGAGAGAGAGAGAGAGAGAGAGACTTCTTTGAAGGGGAGATAAGGCCTGCAGGAATATTAATCTACTTATAAAGGGCTATGTTACTGTGAAATACATGATGGGTTTAAAAAACTTCATGTCACTCCCCAATAATATAAAAAAAAAGTTTCATGGCCATCTCTATATCAATAAGCTTGACAGACAGACTAAGAACAAAATATCTTCAAACTAAATGGGAACAAACTCAAAGATATAATAACTTCACATGTACAATGCATACTTATATATCAATCATTTTAAGGTATTTCCATTCTCACAATTTCAGGGGTTCAAAGTAGAAAACCTGCTTTTATTTTCACTGACATAAATAAATAGATGTATATGCAAGTATATAAAAATCTTACATTTTTGTTAAACAGTATATTATAAAAATTAAGTTAAAACTGGTTCATATACACCATTCTGATGCTGAAAGTTTCAAAATAATTGTTACTTTATAAATATGCTTAAACTGTGAATATCAGGGAACCACTTTACATTAAAAGTGCTATAAAGAAAATGCCTGAATGAAGATGAATGGGGAAGGAGTTATTGTCCTTTAAGCAATATTTTTTAAAGCTTGAATTAAATTTATTAAATGAAGAAAAATAAGAAAACTGTCAGTCAATTTTTTAATTGTTTTTCTTTACAATATTTTTCAATACACCTATTGAAAAGCATTCTTCCAAAGGATATATTTCTACTGGGTATGAATTTAAATCAATAAAAGTTTTTGCAAAATTCTACAACATCACAGGTCAGGGAGGGAATACCTTAAAAGAAATTATTTACAATGTGCTGCCTCATTATAACCCCATCATTCCGTCCAACAAACCTTACCCCGTCATCATTTACTGGAGGCAAAAAACCATCTTGGTTTGAAAGCACATCCCCTCTTTCAATCCCGATGTTATGGAGCACAACGCAGGCCACCACATACACTGCTGCCTGGGGGGGCTCTGTAGCCATTTCATGATGAAGGCAGAGGAATCTTCTCTTTAGAATGCCAAACGTCTGCTCCACCAGAACTCTTGTTCTGCACAGGGCTTCATTGTAACGCTGTTCAGGAGCAGTAGCAGGGTTAAGGAAAGGAGTCATCAAGAATCTTTTACATGGGTAGCCTGAGTCCCCCAACAGAATTCCATCATGTTGGCCTAAAAATTGCATATTTTATTAAATGTACATGTATTTTAATATAAAAAAAACAAACAAAAATGGAAAATACATTAATGCAAGTATATAAGTAAATTTCAAACTGTAAAAAATAAAAAAAAAAATCTTCTTTTTTCCCATGAATTGGGTTACTCTTCAGTTAACGTTATAGTTATACTTATCAGTTACGACATCATGCCTCATTTTTTACTTTAGTTACATAATGATATATCAAATACATCATAAAAAAAGTTTTGAAAAGGAATGTATTTTCTTTGGTGATGCAGTACAATTTTGTCTAGTGTGTGTGTTTATATTTATATATACATGTACCATTCTCAAACTGAGCACAGAGTGCTGACTGGCGGAAAATCCTGCTGTCATGGACTGAGCCGGGCCAGGTAGCAACACAGCTTGTTATTATGAATTTAGGATCACAGCACATCTATAAATTAAAGAGAAAAAATGTGTTAAGTTTTAAACATGGGAAAATACATAATTGTGTTACAAATTATGCAATCCATGAAGAAAGTTGGACAGTTTATTCTTCAGTTATATGTACATGTTTAATTAAGCTCAAAAGTAGGGTCACTTATTATATTTAATATTCACTATGAATACACTTATATCAGACAGGATCTTTTCTTCTTTTCTAGTGATTAACCTTTGTTCTAAATTTACAACCCCCCCCCCCCCCAACTTTATATATATATATATATATATATCTGAAAAAGTAAGCCCCATTTTTTACTAATAAAAATCAAAGTTGGGAACTTTATTTTTTCAAATGTATACATTTAATATATATAACTTTGATTTTCATTAATAATAAAAATGAGGCTTACTTTTTCAGAAATTTATGTGAAACCAGGCCATTCATTCAAATTCACAAATTATTTATTAATTATAATGTAATGAATATATTGTATAAATAATGAATGAGTTCTTGAAATATTGAGCTGAGGGGTAAGTAAAATGGGGGGGGGGGGTTGGAAAGGAGGTGTCATAAAATGTATATAATTATAACCTGAACATTCAAGGAATGGTACCCCTTCCTGTTTACGAAGTCCGCCTCATTGTCTTTGGGTTTTATTATCCTGATGTGTGTACAATCCACACATCCTAGAACATTTGGGAAACCTACAAATTTTAAAATAAAATATTTTAAAATTGTTGAAATTGATGTGTAATTTATTTGGAGTATATTACAATTATAATCATAAGTTGAAGTGCATTTTTATGAAAAAAAAAAGTATAATTAAAACAATAATGTTTGATTTTTTAAAATCTGTTCATGAATTCTTTTCCATAGCACGTTTACACAAAAGAGTCAAATTAACTGGGGGCGAAATAACGAGAAACCGATTTGTGACGTATTAGCTTGTAAGTTACCAGCGATGGCAGAGAAGTCACGCTTTGCAGAGGCTGCATCATTGTTTGTTGGAAACACAACAAATCTGCGAGCAAGGTTCGCCAGATGTCCTGCAACTGCACGGATGCACCTTCCTGCTGAACTTCGGGAAATGTCCAAAGAGTCTCCGATGAGTATATGCACCGCACCAGTGGCGAAATATCGCAAACACAGGAGAAGCTGAAGCAGAGGTGGCAAAGGATGGTTCCTGTTAGTTGGCCGGGACAAGTCAGGGAGAAGACCGAGGATGAACATAATCGTCTGTGGACGAAACCGAAAGCGATCATAAACTTCATCATCTTCTAAATCTTCCAAAGGATTTGATCTGTCTTTGAATTGTCGCGGACGCCTGTGTTGCTGGAACATTAGTCGTTGACGAAATTGTCGTCTGTGAGCAGCCATTTTTGCTTGTTTGAGTACGACTCTGAGAATGCTTCAAAGCATACTTGAAAAATCTTGAGTGTGTACTCCGTTGGAGTTTGAGTATGAGTATAATAAATTTTTATAACCTCAACTTTGGAGTACGAGTATGAATTTGGAGTACGGAGTTTGAGTATGAGTACGAATTTGAACTCCAAAAAGTTTTATAACCTCGGGGCCAGGCATCTCCCTTCTTAAGGGTGCAACAACTATCACACATTTGAATAAAAATAATTTTTATCCCCTTGGCAATTGAAAAGCTAAGTGTCTTATTAAATCATGATGTCCAAATTGTTCATTTGCTGTTATTCCATACAGATGTTGCATGATGTTTTCAGTCGGTGATCTTTTTGTTAATTATCAACAAACTCCAATGCACGAGTTTTGAACATATTATAATGTTTTAATACTACTTTCTTGAAATTGGGGAAGAAAACTATTGTCCTTTTGTCATTAACAGGGAATCATTAGCAGTGCCTCTAAAATAACTATGACATCATTGTCAGTAGATGAACTTTTTGCTTCTCCCCTTCAGTGAGGAAAAGTTTGCAGGTATTTGAAAAGAATGCATATTTGGCAACATAAAGAAATTTATAATTGAGAAAAAACCCCGAAATATTTCTATTTAGAGTAACTGTTATGCATATACTTGTAAAATAATGAAAAGAGAACTAAAATATTCAAAATATTGATATATTATTCACTGTCTAATACATGTAGTAACACATTAGAATTGAAAAAATTAAAAAAAAGAAAAAAAAAACTCCATTTGTTTCTAATTTAGAAATGTATAGGTCTACTAAAAGCGGTATAAATAAAATAAGTCTATTCCACTCCTGTCACTAGGCTTGGTGGAATCCCGACATACAGCCACGAGAGTAATCCACTTTTCCACATCCATAACAAGTCTACAATTTAAAAAGGTTCTGAAATATATTATCACCCGGAGCTATACATATTAACCATTAATCAGAATGGCATTTCTGTTACACATGAAGAACACAAGAACTTACCCCCTGTTATTCCAAATGATGGAAAAGCATGAAAAATAAAATTAGAAAAATCATGAGCTACATGTATGATAAATACATGTACATGTAATTGAGGTTTAAGATAATTGAATGATTCTTTAATAAAAAAAACTTTAATTACTTACACCCTGTTTCAGTAGATGGAGGTCAATACGTTATGAAATGAAAGAGAAAGAAATATACATGTCATAAATATTGAAATTCCATTTTGGCTGTTATAGAAACAATTTTTTTAAAACTCTGTTTTCATAAAAAGGATAAAATTGGAGGAGTGAATCTCTACTTACAAATACTTGGACCTGAAAGTTTAAAAATCATATTTCAATAAAGCATTTATGAAGATCAGTTTTCTTATAATGCAGTTTACTAAAGCATTAGTGTTTCTTAGCTTTATCAACAAGCTTTTATTCAATTGTCATCAGATTTTTAAAAAAAAACCTTTTAAGTTTTCTTCCCCTTTCTTTTGAAAACAGTAGTATGAAAGTTCTGACTTGTTCTATATTGAAGCAATGTCACTCGGATTTGATGTACGTGTTTGTCTTAAATTGAAAACACCGAGTCACAGTTTACTTTCTGCGATTTATAACACCCACTTGAACCCATCAAAGTTTATATAAATATACTTACAATCTACATGCAGGTACAACAGGTTGATGTGTATGAAAAAAAGAAAAATATTGACATTGTAAGATCTCCACAAATACTGACAACCCGTTGCTATCTAGACATTTAATTTGTGAATTTGTATAAGTATTGATATGTAGTTATTATGTTTGAATACCCCTAGAATTGGGTTCACAACAACATTATTTAAACACAAGTGAATGTTGCACTCCACATTTAATTAATGTAAATGACATTTAAAATATTTTTTCATGCTATCATGGAAAAAAGGTTAGATATACAAAATACTCATATCTGTCAATATTTCAAAAGTGGCTTGTTGGTAAATCGCCTCATCAAATGACTCATTAATGATAGTAATAGATGCATCATTTTTCAGACCATGGTACTTACTATTTCAAATTAACATGGAGATAGTGCAAGCATTTGAAAATATTTAAATCTCACGATTGAAAGAGGTTTTGTACATTATTCCTACAAGGTGTGATATTACCAAGGGTTTTACGAGTTTTAAAAAAAAGCTCCGTACTATATCATATGCACAAATCAATGTGTCATTTTTTAAAAGCGAACTTTTATGAGCACAACTTTTTCGTAGTTTCATTGCTAGAATAAGGAAGGTGGAAACGTCATTTTCTCGATAGACTTGACATTTGAAATATAAATCAACATCATTTCAGACGAATTCGTGTTTGTATCACCTGCAAAGGGATATCCGGAAAGAAAATCAATTCAATTCCACGGTATTGCTTGCAATACTCCTTTTCTGCACCTTCTGTATTTGATTAAAGATCAAAATAAATCCTGGGATTTAAAGCGTATGGCATGGACGCTGTGAATTTAATGATCAATGTACTTTGAATACGTACAATTATTTATAGAGTAGAATTTTTTTTACATTTTACTTACCTGGTACATGGTACATGTAGGTGATATCAAAATTCAAATCCAGGCATAGTAACCCCTAATTTCTAGATCAATCATTACATAGTGCATTAAGGTACTAAATTTCAAAAAGAAGAAATGATACTTACCGGCTGTTGAGTGGGACGAATTATGAAAAAGAAAAAGAAATAACGTTGCAATGATTGGAAATTAATTCAGCTGGGAATTGAGCACTTTGAAATCTATATAACTGGAGAAATAATTACATGTACGTCGCTTAATGTGACTTCCAACTACAATTACATCACATGTTAATTTTGAAAACTCCAGAGCAGTGGTTTTACATACCCCTTGATGCCACCTACAAGCACCTTCATGGTTGTATTGTGGTTTGAAAAGCTTCTTACACCGCATACATTCGAACACATTATGTCCTGATCTTGAGGGAAGGGGGGCACGGCTCCCGACGGACGTTGAATCTGAGACAAGGGAACTGCCACTTTGTCCTTGACCCCCTTTGAAGTACTTCTGCAAAACGTTCTCTGTTAAGAAGACGCCTGTGCTGATATTGCTGTTGGCTAAACTTTCCAGCGACCCAAACCTCCTACTGGACGACAAGCGACTGCTCTGAAGATTTCGACTGTGTTCAAGCTCTTTCTGTCTCAGTAAAATGTCCCTCTTTACATGCTGCCTATTTAGAAGTGACTTATGACGCCGAACTTCTCTATTTGTATTCCTAAACTCACGAATAATTTGCTGCTTTAGTTTCTTCTCCAAACACTTTGTCCTGCTTTGATGCGTAAATAGTTCTCGAAAAATTGTAGTGTAGCCACAAGCTTCGCAGACGACTTCACGAAAATCACATTCTTTCAGGTGACGCTTTATGTCGCATCTCCGTATCTTTTTTCGACATCCTTTCCCGTAGAAAGGACACGATACGGGTGTGTGAGGGCATGTATCACTCACGTGATCCGGAAGTTCACCCAAAAGCACCACCTTTCCACATTTATTGCTACACGTTATTCTGAGCTGCAATAACTTGAGCTTGAACTCATTGGAAGGTTGCGTGAGTTTGTCAGTAAACTTTGTCTTGCAAATCGGGCAGTGTTTCATTGTTTCATACTGGAAACGTTTGAGGATACAGTTGTTGCAGAACAAATGTTTACAAGATGATGACACCGGATTTAGGAATACCTTATGACACAGTTTGCAAATGAAAGACTCATCCACATCTCCCTCAAATGATTTGGTATCCAGACCCATTGTGAAAGACCTGCAATATAAAACAAACGCTATAACTTTATTTCTTTGTTTCAGAAACTTGAAATCTCCTGAAATGTTTGTCGAGCTACGCTTGACTTTAAACATTTCTAACTTGCACGAAAGTATCATTGGGTAAAGGGGATACATTACGGTCAAATTAAGGTCTATACAATTTTTGCAAGAAATTCTAAAAACATGGTGATTATCTTTGCTAACTCAAAAAATATGTTATAGAAACTCGTGAAATTTTTATTGCTATAACACATATTTAACATGAAATTTTCCTCAACCAAGACTTATTTTTTCATTCTCCCTAGATGTTTATATCTATATTGAAATTCGATACAAAGACACGAAAAAAATATGAAATCCCCCAAAATAAATTCAAATTTACTCTAAATGAATCATGTAACAAATTAATTTGAAAGTCACGGATCTTTCGGATGAGACCTTATAAACAAGGCCCCGTGTCACGGTGGGCTTTAGCACGATAAAGAACCCTCACTGCTCAATGGCCCTGAGTGACGAGTAAAGGTCTAAATTTGAAGCCCTTCACCGGTATATGGCGACGTCTCATATGAGCGAAAAATTCTCGCAGAGACGTAAAACAACAATCAATCAATCAATCAAATCCCTACTTTCTCCGAAAACTGTGTATCCAATGACCTAAAATAATGAAAATTCAAGGAAACAGATTAACTAAAGTTGTATCAACTTGTTTCCGAATCCTTTTGTATTGGTTACTATGTATATATGATGACTTATTTAAATAAAATAATGTTTAAGATAAATAGTGAAAAAGTGTAGATTTTGGTTTATTTAAAGCATGCAACCATTGAAGCAATGGCATCACCACGGTAAGAATGTGTTTGGAAAAGTCTTAACATAATTGAAATATTCCTGTAGAGCAAGAGGTTCTACATTTTTTTTTCAACATCCTTTTCGTGCAGAATATTCGAGTGTGTTCATAACATGGGGCAATGACAAAGGTCACGAAAAGTTCAGATTATACATAGGAATATAAATCATTTTGAATTCGAGGACAATGAGCTACACTTAATCAAATCAGTATGAAAACTTTTTAAAAGTGTAGATTTAAATCTCTTCGAACTTTACACATTGAGGACTTGCAAGAGCTATAATGCAGAATCCAAACTTTGAAGACACTAAATAAATCTAGATGTACTGTGAGCACTGAGCTCACAAAATGATACTCCCTGCTCGGCCATATGGGTATAATGACAAAGTTAATTTTTTGCTGTGGGAAACCCCAAATATGTGTCCAATGGGAAGGAAAACCCTCCAAATATGTGTCCAATGGGAAGGGAAATGGGAGGTGTACAAAGGCTCTATATGTAATAAAGATTTTGTGAAAGTCTCGTTCAGTTTTATTCATTGGTAAAGGAGGAGATGCGGATAAGAGATTGGTACCCCCTATTGTTACGTACGGACGGACACCCCCATCACTATATACCACCCCCGGGGGGGGGGGGTTAATAGTTAGACAATTTTTATTGCATCGATATCAATCATCCAATTTTGGTACACGTTTTCTTCATATGCATGATATAATGTTTAAACTAACGATCTACAAGAGGACACTCAGCCAAAACAAGGTAATGTTCGTATATATTTACTTTATAAGAGCTTGACAACTCGGATAAATATTATGGCAAACTGTCCTCTTGTTTTCATCTTATATCTACTTGTACAAGCATTTAGGCCCAGAATTTATACATTTCTGTAACTTTGAAAGAAAGTGTTTTTGATTCTTTTTCAAAAATAAGAACTTCAGTGTTAGATATTAAGTGCCTGGTTGATTCGGTACTCTTTTTTTGTTAGTTTCTTTGATCTTATTAGCGCACTGATGACACAGTGAAAGCTTTTTGAAGATAAATACAAAGGTATTGTATATTTCAGATTGAGTAGGACCTAAGGATATTACTACTTATACATCCAATTGAAAAAAACAAGAAAACCAATGCGAAACCATCAAAGATATGGTTTGAAATTGATGAAACTTTAAGAACGCACGTATCCTGAACAAATCTACGTTATCACGACTTCCTATGGCGTTATCAAACACTAGAATTAAAGGCCAATATTTTATTTGTGGCCCCTTAAAATTTTGCCTAAAATTTCCCTCAGAGAGAGAGATCGAGATCGGTTGCAAAGGCAGATGTATGCAAGTTTACTGTGAAAAAATACCCACAACGAACCTCTTTTCTGAAATCAGAGTTATTTCTTATGTACTTGTTACCAAGCAAAAGAGAAGTGTCTACCATATAAAATCAATAAAACGAAGAGCCAGGCATAATTCGATTGATTTGTGAGAAAAAGAACAGATTCATTTTTTCCGTAGATTTCTGACTCGATATTCAAAGCTACCATTGTACAGGTGTCATTTTTATTTTTGCAGTGTTAATTAACATGAAAATGTTTATCAAGTAAAACATCTTTCACTTATTCAATTTGTGAAATCCAGGAGGCCAAAACTATAATTTTCTTACCACAATGCACAGTTTTCAATACCAGATATCCAATGTGAACGTTCTTGTTCTTTGTGAACTTGAACAAAGACCTTGCATTATTGGACCAAGGGTAATTTTGATAATCCAGTGCAGTTTTAAATACAATCTTTGTACACTGTTGACATAGTGCCATTCACCTTATTAGTAATCTTCTAATGAGCTTGGTGTAAGAACATTGAAACTTTGATTATCAGCAACCCTAAGGTGGTGGTTTATGGTATCCATCAGAGGAGAAATTGTTGAAAACGTACTTCTCTTTTATGAAATTTCATTTCCTGTAATTTTATATACTAATGCATGATGTATATTAATGCTTAATGTAATACCCATTTATCAAATTAAAATATTTAAAACATTAAATGAAATGTTAAATCCTATGTTCAATAAATTGGATTAGCCGTGCAATTCTAGCCTTTTAAAAGTTTGTGATTTGCATGTACCTTGCAATAGTAAAGAGATCTTTCTAATCGAAAACTTCAAAAGCAACATTATTGATAATAGTAAGGGCTTAAATAAAACTTATTTTGTTTAAATTTTAATTTTAACAAGAAAACGGCTAAGATTTTTTTTTCTTAACCCTCCCCTCCACCAAAACAACAACTTTTTTCAATATTATTCACAACAGACGATTGCCGAAAAAGGTATACTTACAGTGAAATCCACGGAGCAAATCCCGACTAGATCTGACATTTACCAAATAAAGCGATAAATGTGAAATTCTAGATAAAGTAAACCCTACGACGGGGCAATGAATTGATTGGTTTTGCTATATAATTGATTCAATGATGCTTAACTCGTTTTCAGAATGACAGATGAGTCTTTCGGTCTTTATGATGAAGTATATGGGTTACCGAGTGCCATTTATCATTGATTTAGTTTCATCTCTATGGTCGAAAAATCAACACATATACATATATTTTATACCCGAAGCTCAATATTGCAGGTAAATAGAGTAATTTCCAGATATGGCTTTGAAAATAAAATCGGGAAAAAAGAATCGATTTGGATAGTTTAATGGGAATCATTTTTATTCCACAGAAAATGTAAAAATATGAAAATTGGACAACCATTTAAAGAAAGAATTTAATAGGTACCCAAGTTATACTTGTATAACCTGGGTTGGGGCAGTTTACGCTTTATAAACCGCGAAGCGGTTTATAAAAAAAGTGCAAACTGTTCCAACCCAGGTTATACAAGTATAACTTGGGTACCTATTAAATTTATTCCCTATAATTTAATTTTCTATCAATAAGTTTAAAAAATAAGACAATCTTCCCCTCAAAAAGGCATTAAACTTCTTCAGATTTTAAGTGTAACGTCAAGCGGATTGATACGTTTTTGACGTTAGTCATTGTGACGTAGGCAACACAGGTTATACGATATAAACGGATTTTTCTATCCAATCAAATGTCGTGTTACAACGAGAATTAAATAATTATTGTATAATTTGCGTCAAGAATAGTTAGTTAATTAAAATATGATATCATGATAACTTTTACCAAATTGTCTATCTCTGAAAAATAAAAATAAAAAGTGACTTACCCCACAGGAAGAGCTGGTAAATTAAATTGATCTATAAAAATTCCATTCCATTGGGTAGCAGTTACCGTGTGTAAAGGGGTTTCTACAGTGATTAGGGTGCTTTAAATATCCGTTTTACCAATAGATACACAAAGATCGCTTTGTGACTTAGTGTAGCTTCATTTATGACATACTTTTTCATTGACACTCTCGATGATCAAGCGAGATTTTTGTTGGTCTATGGTCTTTATTCGGGGATTTAAATAAAATAACCAGATGTGATTATGCAAATAGGGAATGCCTAGTGACACGGGTTTATAGTGGAGATAATTCTGTTTTGATATTTGCTCAAGGAATTAATACGAAATCAATATTCTTTTCTGGACACTCCATCAGTTACTGGACTATTGTTTAAAGTCCCAACTTCAGATAACCGATTCAAAATTTTAGAAGGTTACATAGTATATTGGTTTATGTGTAGATGTTTAATTGATATCAAAGGTGAATTGATTGATTTCCCCCAAATGTTGGTTCCAAAGTAGATATCATATGTAAGGGGAAGGTGGTCTATTTTATTCGAGGTGTGGCTTCGAATCCACTAACTTGTATAAATTTAGTAGTACAAATCACCCATGAAATCTATTTTAAATCATTTCTAAAAAATGAAAAAGAACAATAATTGTTAACAATCAATGGCCTATGTATTGTGTACTATCTTATGACCATCTGAGGCTTCGTAAAACTTTGTTTTACCTAGGCCTAAATAGTGACTTTTCATGTAAAAATTCATATAGGAATTTTAATTTAAATCATCTGAATATTAAAGCCAATAATCATGATATGGACAAGCTATTGAATACGTCGTCGTCGTATTCGTATTTCGACTATATACATGTACTTGTCGGAGGTTGGTACGAACACGTGAGACAAATGAAAGGTTGAAATCTAATTGGTATCTCAAGGGATATTGTGAAAGTACACAAATCAAATTCCTTTTGAAACCTTAAAAAAATGAATTCATTAGTAATTCATCACAGAAATATATCTGCACAACTTTTTCGAACTGGTTCCTGAATATTTTTTTTTAATGTCTTAAACCAGAATGGAATGGAACACGGTCCAATTTCCTTCAACACATTATCGTCCCACAGCGGGACGTGGAGACCTGTCCTTCGGATGAGACTGTATAAACCGAGGCACGAAAAAGATCCCTCACTGCTCAATGGCCCTGATCATGAGTGCCAAGCATAGGTTAAAATTTGCAGCCCTCCACCGGCAAGTGGTGGCGTATCCATAATGAGTGAAAAATTCTCGAGAGGGACGTAAAACAACATACAAACAAATAAACAAACACATTACCGTCTAAGGGATTAGTACATCTACAGTTATTAGACCACTGTTGAACATTTCACAAATTCTTTAAGCGGAAGAAGAAATGAGAAATTAAAGCAAATTTTGATAGATGTTTGATTTTTATTATTTTTTTTTTTTTAATTTTGTATTTGTTTTTTTTTAATGTAATAATGATCTTCTAATGCAACTGTCCAAACCCGGTTTTATTTTATTTTATCATTATTATTATTATTATTATTATTATTATTATTATTTTTATAAATCTCTAACAAGAAAAGATCTTCAAATCTTATTAAGAATTTTTAACGAAAATTGTATACAATATAAGATGGACATTACAATTAATGTTTTTCTTTCTTAGAAAAAGTAAAGAAAATGGAATGGTGAACAATGATGTCGGTATTGCAATTTTTTCGTTACCTGAATATTCCCCAAAACTATAACAGTTGCAGTTTCGGCGAAAAGAATCAAGTTTTTGACCTTTATCAAACTTGAAGCATTTGCTTCCCTTTGTGGAGATACTAGTATACGACTAGTATACGATGTCGTACACGACAAATCTAATCTGTTAAGATTAGCCTCCATCAATTAATGATATACGATGGCCTCCCAAACCTTGGTGTTGGCGATTTTAATCTGCGGCTTCCTCACAAGTCTTATGAGATATATATTTGAATTAAAATCATATTTACATTATTTAAGTTTTCTTTCTCCTGTGTTTAAAGATCTAACGCTTTAAGTTTTTTTTCGTTTCAAAGAAACAAAAAACAAAACAAAACAAAAAAAAAAAAAAATAAATAAATTTAAAAAAAAAACCTTTGTCAAAAAAGGCCAAAAACTTTCATATATTTGAGGATCCAATGTAACGACCACTTCACCATTTCGACAAAATTCCTCAAATAGATTTTACCTCAAATAATTTATATACAGTGGGCCCTCGTTAATCCGAAAGTCAATAATTCGATTGGACGCTTCATCTTCCGGACGAAATTTATGGGGAACAATTTATATAATTTATGTATACTAAGTCTGTTTCATTATTCCGGACGCTTCATTTATCCGGACAATTGCAGGGGAATACAACTGTCCAGATTAACGTGGCGCGACTGTACTAGTATATAAATTAGTAGAGCTGTACAATATAGTTAGATTTTAGGAGTCCTCGAACATATACTGAGATGTGTATGTTTAAAAAAAAAATGCAAAATTATACCTCCTTAAATATATTCAAAATCAAATTGGACCCCCTTTGTTTGTTTATTTCCCTCAAGCCATATATAATGGTCCAAGAGATACATGAACATATTAAAAACAAGGTTAAGTAAAGAAGAGTAGTGTAATCAAACTTTACTTTCGCAATTTTAATTAATAATGCACCTTTGTATAAAAAAAAGTTTTCTTTGGAATTATGATGCATTCTGTTCAGCTTCATGGTAGAGATTTGATGAATGGGTTGCAGGGCCATTAGTCTGTGGTCACTCGAACTTCAACATTGACTATTTGATCCATTGGGGTAAAATATTGAGTTATCCCGCTTTCTGCCTCACAGTCATACTGTCCTCACAGTCATACTGTAAGCTGGGAAACGCTGGTCTCTGATCTAGACTGTTAAGAGGAACATAGCAGTGCTTGTTTAGAATGGGACAAATTTCTGTTCTCTAATTTTGACCAAATTGAAAAAAGCTAAAAAAAAAAAATTATGACTGCAGAACTGTAGCTCTCTTGGAACCGACATACAAGAGACTTACAGACGTACCTGTTTCGTAATGAGCCTCGGTTATTATTCCCCCTCCCCCCCCCCCCCCCATCCTTGAGGCATGGTTTCGAAACAGCGACTTTTTACACAAGGAATGGTCCTTCATTATAAACGACACACTAGGAATCGAACTTCATCGTTAACGTGAAAGTAAACGTCACACTATGAATGATCCCACATTGTTAACTTGAAAGGAAAGGTTACACTAGTTATGGTCCTTTGTCGTGACGCAGCTTTGCTTTACCCAGAATTTAACATCGAACAATTGCTTGCAGCTACAGTAACAGCTGATGCAAATTACAGAACTGCTTGATACAATGTATTGAATTGTCAGGGAAATAAAGCATACTGAAGTTACACAAAACTACACGAATACTGAGTAAATGAGTAATGAATATAAATTGATGCATCTAGCTATTTTTCAAGGAATATTATTATCTCTTTTCTGGAATATTATGTTAATGTTCCAGTCGCTGTTGTTTATGATAAAACTCATCAATTAACTGCTCTGACCCTATCTATATTGTCTATATTGCATAGTTGAACTGTGTTCGAAGTTTCAATATGTATGCATGTATTACTGTGTATATTAAATTCTGTAATAAATTTAAATGCATCAACATTTTGAAAAATAAGGAATAAGCATATCGCATATATTTGTTATTTTTATTTATTTTGACTTGGTATTTAAAATATGTAAAATTATTTGGAATGAGAATAATACAAAGCATTTATGTTGGATTTAATATCATTTTTCGAAAATTTAAAGCAGCCCAGTGTCGAGATTAAATGTGTCTTCCGGGCTTTGAAGACAATATACTGACATTCAGCTGCCTGCAATAATTTGTATGTACATGTACGTCCACTTGCCGCAGATGTTAAACATGTATTCGATGTCTGAACACTGATGATAGGCATGGTTACTGACGTTCTCGTGGGAATTCAGGCAATGCAAGTTAATGAAAAAAAGAACATACGCACTTTTTATGACGATGTTTTATTTATTAAATTTCTTTAGTCAAAGTTTGGGCTTAAACAGTCACATAATTATAACAGATTTTAAGGACATAAAAATCATAGAAAATTCTGATATATTTATTGCATTTTATTCATTATTTTCTTGTTTATTTTTTTTTATAACTAAATCTAAGATAAGAGGTTCCAAAATGTGTCATGTTCTCAATTTTAATTTACACTGAATAGAAACAAAGACAAAATTTAGAGCAATTACAACTACATGGTATATATATTACAAACCTTTCGCTTGCTTTAAAATGAATGAAAACTCTGAAGATAGCCGTGATTGTCTGTTTTTCCTGTAAGACAGGTTGACCAGCTCAGCATATTAGTTTACAACTGTTAGAAATAGTAGAACGATCATAGGAAATTATACAAATCTAAAATGACAAGAGGTACATGTATATCTGCTCAATGCTCTTCCATGGCTTTTTCGTCAGAAGTACATCAGAAGAATATTAGTACATGCAAGATGTCTATTATGCTTACGTTAGATTTGATATTTGGTCCCAATTGGGGCGTATAATGTCATTCTTCGAGAGGCTCTATGAAACATTAAGATGTGAATCTGAACATATATAATATGAATTACCTGTAAAATCTGGTGGATAAGACTGCATGGATTTGGCGTGAGGATGACCACAGAATAGGAAAAATTAGATCAATTTTGCAAACGTGTTCAGCCAGTTTTTAAACTTTAGCCTATGACAAGATAATACACGTAGAACATTTATCAGCTGTTGATATGATTCATTATGGCCCACTAATAGAGTCCAGAAACAAAATAAATACAATAAATTTCATACTGTAACTTCCACAAAGCCATTTCTCATCTCAATTTTGAAATTTAGATGGATAATTATGAACAATAACGGAACCCTAGTTCTAGTTAGGAATAATGACGTCGATTTGTGCCAAAACAGACTTCAATCATAATTGGGAGGATGCATGCTGTGGAGTATGAAAAAGATTCATTTTCGTTATGAATTTCAATTTATTTTAAAAGTCCAAATGATTCATATGTTTGCCAAAGAGAATACAAGTATAAGAATGTAACTATGCTAATAATAAGTTCTTGTCGTTCTCGCAGAGTAACTACA